CTGAGTAAAGTGAGCAGGACCAGGACAACATTGTACATAATAACAGCCACATTATGTGATGACTAACTTTGATAGACTTAGCCCTTCTCAGCAATGCAAGGATCTAAGACATCTTCAAAAGTCTCATGATAGAAAATGCTATCCACATTGAGAGAAAGAACTATGGAGTTTAAATGCAGATCGAAGCATATTATTTGCTCTTTTTTTTTTTCTGTTTTGTTTTGTTTCTTCTTTCTTGTGGTTCCTTCTATTGGTTCTAATTCTTCCTTACAACATGACTAATGTGAAAATATGTTTAATAGGAATGTATACGTAGAGCCTACATCAGATTGCATGCTGTCTTGGTGAAGGAGGTGAGGAGGGAGGGGGAGAAAATTTAAAACTCAAAATCTTATGGAAGTGATTGTAGAAAACTAAAAATTAATTAATTAAAAAAAAGAAAAAGAAAAGATATAAAATTTTCCATAAAAAAAATGAATGTTGAAGACTATCTGGAAAAAACAAAGTATTATTTCCAACATAAAATAAAATAAAATAACAGATAATGATTATAACAACAATAATAATGTTAATAATTTACTGTTTGGAGAAAAGAAAAAGTTTCATAGACTCTTTAAGATATCCTTACCTGTGAGGTCCCTTAATACTTTGTATTCAGGCAGGTCATAAAAATCTTATCAGCCCTACTAATTGCAGTTGTAAAATTCTAAGGTACTGAAGTTTAAGAACATAGAACTGAGAAAATAGGATCCCTTCTCCCATTCCTTGTCAAAATGAAGGAATTTACAAGTTTACTACAATAGTGAGTTTTCATTTGAAAATTTTTGGCTATCACTTATAAAAATTATGAAAACATATAGGTGGTTTAAACATGTAACTTCAACACATTAATATAAGTTAACTATCAGGTATTTATTGTATATTTGAAGCCCCAGAATGTGGTTAGTTTTAATGTATAGGTAAAGGATAAATGAAATGTAAATGTTAGGGGAACATGAAAAAATTAATAGTATTTAGTCCAAAGTTGTGATTAGCAAAATTTTGCTATTTGTGGGAAAATTTCTTGGGACTTTAATTTTGTTTTGAGTTTTGATTACAGGGAAGGTTGTCTGAATTATCATGAAGCCAACAGTAGAAAATGACATCAACTGAAGTCTGAGAACTATAACACGTGGATGTCAGTCCCTGAGAAAAGCTGAGGAAACTAACTTGTTATGGCCTGAGGAAGAATCTTCTTGATTCAGTTTCCCCATTGTGATATTTCCTTTCTGAACAGGAAATTTCCCTACATGGTTAATCCTGAACCTGGCTTTTGATACCTTGTGAAAAATGTGGAGCCTTACTACATGATTGGCTGTCACATATGACTTGTACTAAAGGAATTTTTCCATTGTTATGGTATGTCAGGTTAGTCTGTGCCCTTGAGGGAACAGTCTCGACATTTTATAATTATGTCTCTCCTCTTTCTTTCATAGCAAATTTCTTTAATCAGGGCAGGTAAGTAGTAGAAGTTTTGTAGGTACAATACTAAATCTATTCATTAATAGATTGATACTGGAGCATCTCTGAGTTACTATAATAGAATGCAAGTATGAAAAAAACCATAATTTTAATCTATATTTGTGGTCAAATTATAATATAGGGATGATATCCTCTTATGGGGGAATTAGACAAAATAATAAGACAAGGCTAAAAGTTTTCCAATTAAATGGAATAGTAAATTTTGAGAAAGCAACAAGATTTCTCTAAGAACTATATGTATATGATTAACTTCCAAATATACCTAGTGGGGAAATTTAGGCTTTGTTTATGATTTAGCAACAAGTTCTCAAAATTAGATTAAGGATTTTACATTAAAAAATTGCATTGTTAGTTGTAAAGATAGTGAAATTATTTTCCCATTTTTAAAGTATTGGTCTGATAATTTTAAAAGACAGAAGGGTTTATTTTGCAAGTCAGACCCTCATGAATTTTTTTTTTTAGATTCTTAAGTAAGGTACAGGGTGTAGGTAAAGGGAGAAGTGTTATATAAAAACTGAAATTCTCTAAAGTCTCAGATGAATTATAGGTTCCTGATTTGATGTTCTCCTTATAGCTCTGTTGTTAATAGGATTAGCTCCATGAGGCTTGAACTGGTTTTTACCACATGAACTAGTTATTGGAAAACTAAATTTAAGAGGTTGTACAAAATTATACTGAGTCTTGTTACTGGTAAGTTTTAGCTGAATTACCTAAGAATCTCTACAAGTGATTTGGAACCAGAGAAGCAGAGCCCACTTCAGAGCTGCCCTGAGAATGAGGCCTATTCTAGAATGTCCAAGAGAAGATTTTCCAAGGACCAGATGACTACATGGGACATCTGGGACTCAAGATGTCAAAATGCACTGATTAAATAGAGAGTGGGAATGAGTTACTATGACAAAGGGAGCTTGATGTTATTGAATATTGATGATTATTGCAGTATTTCTTTGGCCTTTTGTTTTGTGGTATTTATGTTTTCTGGGTTTTCTTGGTTACCTTGATGACATGTAAATCTCCCCTCTCAAAATTAGTCCATTGCAAACCCTTAAAGTAGTTGATCTGTAGCCTGACTCATGTAATACTGATTATGAATATATGAAAACCTGATAGATTTGGCTTATAGGTGATGCATGGGATAGGTAGCCGGCCCCTCTCCAAAGAATCAAAGCAGGGGAATTGAGGGAATTGTGGGTGTTAAGTGAACCACACTGACTCCATTTTGTGACTTAATTTTGGAGCTAACTCACTTCCCTTTCTATTCAATTATGGGTCTAGTCCAATTTCTGTCTTGTGAAAAAACTTTATTGCATTGTTTGAACCAAGCCCTACATGGCTGGGAAACTGGACCACCTCTACTTGTTGCTTAGAGACCCTTAACTAAGGACCTAGGTTATGCTGACCAGAAACCCAGTCAGATCCAAAGATTGATGCAAGGAATTTTCTCACAATTCTACATCTCGAGCAACCCATATGTCTTATCTGAAAACTGGCTCCATACTGATCAATCAGTTCCAGTTTCCTTGTTCCTTTGATTGAATACAGACACTTAGGGGAAAGGGGGGAGAGTGAGATATCTCTTTTCTGATTTCAGAGAATTGCTCCTGTTTGCTCTTCTCCACCCGATTCAGAAAGCCCCTAATCTTTCCTCCAATTAGAAATCATATTACCTAATCTTGTATCCTGGTTTATATTCTGTTAATTGTTTTCTTTTGATGCTTAAAAAAAAGAGAATAGAATAAATGGGGGGGAGGGCAGGATAGTTAGTTTTCCACAGCATGACTACTATGGAAGTATTTTGCATGACTACACAAGTATAACCTGTATTGAGTTGCTTGCCTTCTCAATGAAGATGAGTGGGGAGAGAGGAAGGGAGAAAATTTGGAACCCAAAGTTTTAAAAACAAATGTTAAAAAATTGTTTTCATATGCAACTGGGAAATAAGATATACAGGCAATAGGGTATAGAAATCTATCCTGCCCTACAGGAAAATAGAAGGGGAAGGGGATAAGAGAAGGGAGGGGAAAAGAAGGGAAGTCAGATTAGGGGAAAGGGTATTTAGAATGCATGCCATCTTGGGGTGGGGGGAGGGACGAGATGGGGAGAAAATGTGGAACTCAAAATCTTGTAAATGTAAATGTTGAAAACTAAAAATAAATAAATTAATGAATCTTTAATAAAAATTTGTTTCTGCCTGTATTTGGGGTCTAGTGCCAAAGGTGAGGAGGCTTGGTCCTGATTTGTTATGTAATTGGCATGTATTGCTTAATAAATCAATATGCTCAGAAGCTTGAACCTTTCTCTCCTTAGTCATTTCACCCAATCCGCCAGCCATATGTAGGAGCCCCTCATGTCTGTTTTTTAGCACAGTCTCCACCTTAAGATGACACCTTCTCCTCTGACAAGTTCTCTTTCCCCACCACCACTGCCTCCACACAACTAAAGCATGGGCAATTAACCCACTGACCTTTTCCTAAGGATGATGTAGGGCACATAAATTAGTTTAAGACACCATTCTTTGATCTCCTTAGCTGAAAGTGTTCTTTCCATTCTCAGATTTTCCTAGGGCAATAGCCTCGTTCTTTCCTTCACCTCCATCACTCTCTACTCTTATATCACAGATTTAAACCTCAAAGACACCTTAGAAGTCAACAAGCAGGGTCAGCTAGGTGGTGCAGGGGATACAGCACCAGCCCTGGAGTCGGGAGGACCTGAGTTCAAATCCAGGCTCAGACACTTGACACTTACTAGCTGTGTGATCCTGGACAAGTCACTTAACCCCATTGGCTAGCCAAAAAAAAAAAAAGAGAAGTCAACAAGCACAATTACCTCATTTTATGGACTTGGAAATTGAGACCCATCGAGGTGTAGTGACTTTATGTAACATCAGAAGACTTTAAGCAGCTGAGCCTGGATATGGCCCCCAGGCCCATGACTCCAAATCCATTGTTCTTCCCACTGTACCCCATTGCATCCCTAATTATATACATTATATTTATTTGGACTATTATGGATGTGAATTTGACCCTAGACTGGCCTCTTCTCCTTTCTTAATTTTTTTGGGGGGACAGGCAATGGGGTTAAGTGACTTGCCCAGGGTCATACAGCTAGAGTCAAGTGTCTGAGGCTGGATTTGAACTCAGGCCCTCCTGACTCCAAGGCCAGAGCTCTATCCAACTGCGCCACCTAGCTGCCCCCTCTCTTCTCCTTTCTTGACCTCAGGCTTCCTTATTTGTTAAATAGAGATGATACTTGTACCAGCTACACAGAAAATTGTGAGAAAACATGCTGTAGACCCTACAGCGCTCTATAAATGGGCTATTTTAATCTTTGTATTCAGCACCTAGCAGGCATTTAATAAATGTCTGTTGAATGTTGACAAAATCCCTATCCTCAAGGAATTGAAGGGGAGGGGACCAGGAAACAGGGCCCAGAGAAAGCCAGCCTTCCCACAGCCTCTTAGGAAACCTCAACACACTCACCGAAGGGTGGTGACTTGGCACTGGTCATGCAGAAGGAGGTCTTGGATGTCCTTACAGGCTTCAGGGCCCAGATTGTTCAACTGCAGGCTAGAGTAGAGAGAGGGGGCCCAGTGAACACGAGAAGGAGGGGAGGCACAGGGGTGGGGAGCATCAGAAGGGACAGCATTCACCTTCCCCATCACTCCATCTTTGGCCTTCTACCTGACATTTCCTCCCATCCTATTCTCATCTCCTCAGTCAGTCTGACTTCCCCAGTTCAGCTTTCACTCCTCTGCTTCCCCAACATCCCTCTTCAATATTTAAGATTCTTCCTAAAATTTTCTTCTGTCTTTCCCACCCTCACTCCCAACAATCCCAGTCATCTGGAAGGGACCTTAGAGATCATCCAGGCCAACATCCTCATTTTACAGATGCGGAAACTGACGTCTGGAGAAAAATTACCCGACAAAGGTCATAGAGGTAACAAATGGAAGAGACAGGATTTGAACCCAGTCAGTTACTACTTTTTTCTTCCCTTCATCCCCTGTACTGGACGGTCTCTCCTCTTGCCTGGCAATTCTCTGCCAGGTTGGGTAGCGCCAAGGAAGCCCAGCAGTTTCTCACCCAAGCTTCTGGGCACGCAAGAAGACAGGCATGAGTGTGCGCAGTCCAGCAGGGTCCAGCTGGCAGGAGGCCAAGTTGACTTCATCCAGGGTGTGTGTACCACTGCCCAGTACCGACGCCACCACAGAGCATTTAAGGGGCGTCATACGCACACCTGCCAAGTTGAGCTGATGCAGGGAGCTGAGCACCTCGGCCGAGAAGTGCTGGTTCTGAAACTCATAGTGGAAGAACAGGTGATCCAGAAGCTCTGAAGGAGGCAGGCCTTGACGGCCCAACTTCACCAACTTCTTCTTAATGGCCTGGGCATTTTCCAGGGCATCCATGTTCTTGATAGGACAGCCCAGCTGGGCCAGCACTACACGATTCCGGGAGGAAAGCAGTCCACCCATGAACATGGGGAAGAGTTCGAAAACCTCATCATCAGGAGGCTCGTCGGGATGGCGCCGGGGACCCTCTACCCCCAGGATGCTGGCTCCCAACTGGTCCAGCACATCATCGTTGTAGTAGTCTTCCTCCCGAAACATCTCCAGGACCATGGCCTGGGCCACTGCTTCTCGACTTTTGCCTGCCCATCGTCCAAATACCCGAGGCACAACCTGAAAAGAGAAGCAAGGGAATGGCTGGTTGAGCCTTCTGTAATAACTCCAGCCCTTCCACATCTCTCCCTCCCTTCTCTGAACTCCTTGTTCATACTGATTCTATATTCTATCATGAGCCATTTTGTGACATCTCTTCTGTGTTAGGTATATAGTTTTATGTTGTTATTTAGCTTCCCACCCACACGTTTTATTTTGTACCCCCCAGTACATCACCTCTGTTTTTTGTATTAGTTTGTGCTATATGGTGTAGCAGGAAGAGCAACGGCCTTAGATTATGAAAATCTGGGTTCTGGCGCTAACAGCTACCTCTTTGCCCCTTCTACCCGCTGCTCAAAGCTGTGCCCTCTGGGGCCAAACAGAAGGAGTCTAATGCCTCTTGCACAGAAGAGTCCCTCAAAGATTTGTTCCCCTCCATCTTTTCTTCTCCACGATTGCTTCTGGACATGAAGACCAGGCAGAGGGATGTGGCTTGGTGTCTGTGGGGAGTCACTGAGGGGTTTTATCTCACTCAAGGGAATGACTTTATCAGTCCAGACAGTGAAATGATAAAGGATGTATTTAAGGAACATTAGTCATAGAGCATCTTGTTTATACTACTCTCATGGCCCTATGAAATATCTGTGCATATCTCTCTACCTGACTGCAAGCTCTTAGGAGAACAGAAACCATGTCTTACCTAAACTCTGGGTTTCTGATAGTTTCCAACAAATTGCTCTACATACTGTAAGTAGTTCTTTGACTTAAATGTCTTCTCTACCCAACCAGGTCATAAGTGTCTTCAAGGAAAAAACATATCTTATATTTCGTATCCTCTACATAGACATATTTGTTTAATGATTTCTAGGAAACAGAGTGCTATTGGAAACCAGTCCCTCCTAAAATCTACCCTCACTCCCTCCCACTACCATCATAGTGCAATTTTTTCTCCTAGGTGAAAAATCTCTCAGATTTTACATTAATCCTATTTACAGAAGTTATGGAAGTTCTTACCCTCTACCTTCTCTTTCCCAAACTGAATCATTCTACAACCTCACCTGCTTCACCCTCTAATCCTTCTTCCCCAGCAATATTGTTCCCTTTTACCTCTTTTCCATGTGTCCAGGGTCCATTTGGAGCTTGGGTCCTATTCAGAACTGACCCTTGGATCATTTATAGCAAAAAAATGTCCTTAGTCCAGCCTCTTCATTTTACTGAAGAGGAAACTGAGACTTGTCTGGATTCATCAGCTAATAAGTATCAGAGCTAGGATTTGAATCAAAATCCTGTTTCTAAATCAAATAATCTTCCCATCTACTCTGGGGCCACTTCTTTTTTTTTTTTTCCTGGGGCCACTTCTAAATAGCTACCAACTTTGTCAAATAAAGTAAGTTATAGTGATAAAAAACAAATTTTCATTCCTGGTTAGAGAGGGTATGATAGAAAATGGGACCTATTAGAGCATAGCTGTGAGAAAAGAGGGTGTCTTGGGCAGCTAGGTGGTGCAGTGGATAGAGCACCAGCCATAGAGTCAGGATAACCTGAGTTCAAATGTGACCTCAGAAACTTACTAACTGTGTGACTCTGGGCAAGTCATTTAACCCCAACTGCCTCAACCCCCTCCCCAAAAAAAGAGGGCATTTTATGAAATTTAGGGGTAAAATGAATTTATATTCAATTATTCCTTTTTCTAGGTGATAGACAACTATAATAAAATCTTTCATGGGTTCCTTCTTCCCTTCCGTTCTTCCTTTTCCTCTCCTACCTCCTTAAGAAATCAAGTCTGGCTACCTAGAGCACTATTTCCCTTAAGGATATGATGTAAGGTTAGGGTCCTACAGAGAGGAGGGATGGTGGGGTGGGAGGACAGAGCTGTTACCTTGAGTAGGTTGAAAAGCAGGGGCAGCACCCGAAGGGGCAGCAGCTTGGTTATGATACTAAGCACCAGGCTAACATCCTCACCCACTCGGCCCACCAGCTCTGCCGCCTCCTTGTCCACTCGCTGCCAGGCTGTCTTGCGTTCACCCAACACGATATATAGGGCAGCTAGGTACTCCTGCATGGCAGGTACTGTGAACACAAAAGTGCCATGCTTCCCTGACTCCACACAAGGTGCCAAGAAAAACCGCAGGGCATCTCGGCGGAAGACGTGCAGCAACTGAAACTCTTCTTCTGTCTTCACCCCAGACTCCAGACATTCTCGGACATCCTTCTCAGAGAAGTAGGTTTTCCGAGATGCCACACCCTCATAGGCCAATTTACCCATGGTGCGAGCAGCGTAAGCCATCAGTGATGTCCGAGAGGGATCAGTGCTGTCTAGTATCTCCCCACTAAAGTTGAGTCTCAGGAAACTGGTATAGATGCCAGTCAGGGTCTGCCCAACAGGTGTGGATACATGGAGGAAGTATAAGGTGGCACACACCAGCCAGCAGTAGGAGGGCAAGAAGCAGGCAGTAGCGATCTGGTGGTGTCCCTCTAGATTTCGGGAAAGCATTTCCACCAGGTTGTCCCTCTGAGCTGGGGTGATGGGGGTGCCCACTCCATTTGCACTGTGTCCACAGTCAGGCTGGTTGAGACGGAGCTGGAAGTACAGTTTCTGCAGGTTGGTGTCAGAGAAGCCACAGATCTCCCCATAGCGACCCACGTACTTGCTGGGGATGCGGCCAACTGCAGAGGCCCGAGTGGTTACCAGGATGCTAGCCTAAAGAGAGGGCAGAGGGACAAAGGATGACAACGGAACTCAGCCATTCGGTTTCTTTACCTCCTCCTTCTATTTCCTATGAACTCAGGAGTTCTGTCTACCTTTAGACCTTAACACTTATGCCTCATTAAAGCAAATGCCTCATTTAAAGATGATGAAAGTGCAGTCCAAAGAAGAGGGTTAGCCTAAGATCACAACACTATACCATCCGATAGGTCATAACACAATGTAATAAGATTACACAAACATTTTGGAGTTAGGACCCTATACCTTTTCTTTTGTTAGGCTCACAGTAAAACTGACAAAGCTATAAAGGTCTATGGGTAGAGTGGGTATTGATAATCTGAAGGAACCATTGAAAAATGCATTCCCATGGGAAAGAAGGCTGTTTCTAAGCAAAACAATGGAAAATACTTACTTAACTTACAGTACTCATTCCCAGAATGTTTCAGTCACAACTTGGTCACTATGCCTAATTAACTATCCCTCCCTCTGCCCAAACATTGTACTATCCTCCTTTCTTTACAGAGAAAGTTATACTTTAGAAAATCTTTCAACTCTGTACCTCCCTCAATCTAGTTGTAAGACTGAATTAGTCAGCCCCACTCAGCCTACACATGGCTGAGTTCCCTTGTGCAAGACATCAAATGGTTAAGCCAGGAAAATGCGGAGCACTGGGTCAACTTTTCAACATATTTAGCACCAAGAGGTAATAGACTCAAGAGGTAAAACAAAATACACATTTCTGGACATGGTCAAAGTGGGAATTTCTTTTGCTTGATTGTGTATATTTGTTACAGAGGCTTTTTTTTTTCCCCAGTGGGAGGTAAAGGGGATGGGAGAAGAGAGTAGGAAGGAGAAAAAAAATAGATGCTTGATAATTGAAAAAAAAATTTTCAAAAACCATGTTTGTCATTATTCTTCACTTGTCTTCTCTTTTTCTGTCAAACCTCCAGTTCAAAGGACTCGAAACAGAAAGTGCCCAGAGAGGAAGAGTGAAATGGATGTGCCCAGGAAAGAGTAGGACAAAAAAGGAAAGAGGGAGGAAATCATAGATCTGAGGGCTAGGATATGAGAGGCAAAGGCCAGAGAAACCACAAAGACTGAAGGTAAAGGACAGTGACACCTAGTGGCTGTGGTACTTGAAGGGTGGAAGGGTGGTGACCACCTACCTCGGGCAACATGAACTTGCGCAGCAGATTGACAATGATGGTGGTGGGCACCTCAGGCATTTCAGGATCACCATGCAGCCCTGTGCCCTCCATCCGGAAGTCTAGATTCAGCCGCTCCAAGCCATGGAGCACAAACAGCAGCCGGGGCCCAGCCTTGTCCAGCAGGGGTAGCACTTCTTTCAGATGGGGGTACCGGCGAGTCACCATTTGGTACAAGGAGATGGGTGTGGGACCTGGGGCAGACAGGTCCTCACAAGAGAAAGGAATGACCAACTCAAAGCTGGGCAGCCGCCCATGACACCAGTCCAGTACCATTTTCCTAACTAGGGTGCTCTTGCCCGTACCCACTGTTCCATACAACACCACCATTTGTACCCGTCGCCCACATGCATCAGGGTCAAAGAGCTGGGGCAGAGCCAGTGGACGGCGCTCCATCAGAGGAAGTGGGTGTGCCAGGGTGGGTTCAGCAGGTGGGCGCAACAGCTCATCAGGGGTGCTTTCACGGATTACGGGGTCCACATGGCCTGTATCCAGAGAAAATGTTGGCCCAAACTGGCGTTCCTCCCGTGGCAACCGAATGAACCATTCAGCCAGGCTTCGGCGGTACCGATGGACTGATTCTGGTGAAGAGATGGGAAAAGATGGCCAGGAAAGATAGAAAAGGCACCAGGGAACCTGGAAGAAGGTGCCATGAGGAGTCAGGAGTGCCAGTATATCTTAGGAGTCAGGACAGGTACTTGGACCTGGTAGGAGAATCAAGCAAGCTAGGAAAGAGGATTCAGGGTGGATCACTGAAGGACTTGAAAGACCCAAGTCATGAGAGGTGTCAGTGGGTAAGAGAAAAACTAGGGAGATTAAGGGAACTATAGGATGAATCAGGAAAGGGGCATCTAGGATGGGGAGTAGGGAATTAGTCAGGAGTCTAAGATGTCCTGGGTCTAGCACAGTGCCTTACATACAGTTTGATATTTGTTGTGCTTTTTTATTTTATTTTTAATTTATGGAATAAATTATGGACTAAATATTTTGTAATTATGGAAAATATGGAATCAATTTAATTTATAAATAATGTAATAAATTATAAATTATAATATAATAATGTTATGCAATTATATAATATAATAAATAATAAATTTATGGAACAAAACAAGCATTTCCATAATATAATACAATAGAAAAGATTGTTATAAGTATAAAAAGGATAATTTCAATTATTTTAAATTAAAATTTTCTTGTATAAATAAAACTTATGTAACCAAGAATAGGAGGAATGCAGAAAATTGTGGGAAAAAACTTTCATAGACAATCTGTTACGATGTGATTGGGTTGGAATATTTATGTGGTGTACGAAATGAAAAGCTGTTTGATTTAGAAAAACATGGAAAGACTTAGACTTATGATGGAAGATGCTATCCACCTTCAGAGAAACAAGCGATAGGAGGAAATAAGCATGGTATGGTCTTACACATATGTGTATGAGTATATATGTGTATATATGTGTATGTTTATAGATACCTATGCATATGTATATATATGCATGCTTAATTATAGCCTTCTTTAGAGCAGTGGTGGGGGAGGGAAGGGAGAAAATTAAGCAAAAAGTGCACAGCAAAGAACAAAAGAAACCGAACAAGGAAGCAAAGAAAAGCTAGGCAGCTTTGAAAACAATGTGTAGTCTTTATTATATAGGTTTTCTTGATATGGAAATGTATTGTTTTATATTGAATCCTCACTTATGGTCTTCTGTGTACATGGCAATGTTTTTTTTCTTCTTTTCTCATTTTGTATTTAAGTTGAAAATTTAAAAATTTACCAAAAAAAAAAAAGATGATTGTACATGAAACTGCAAATGTACTATGCACAATTTGCTATTCCTTTCAAAACTATCACATAAATTTTTTCTCGCTCTAGGGATGGCTACCATTAGACACGAATAGGTATATGTATGTAAAATTATTATATACATGCTTCTATTTATCAGTTCTTTCTCTGGATGCAGATAGCATCTTTCTTCATAGGTCTTTTATAGTTAATTTGGGTATTTATAATAGTCAAAATAACTTATTCACTTTGTAAAATTTCTCTTTATATCTAGGTCATGTATCCATTTTGACCTTATCTTGGTAAATGGTGGAAGATATTGGTCTATGCCCAGTTTCTACCTAACTGTTTTCCAGTTTTCCCAACAGTTTTTACCAAACAATGAATTCTTATCTCCAAATCTTAAGTCTTTACACTTGTCAAACAGAACATTTGGTTTTGTATGACTGTGATTGGTGCAGATTAGTGACTTAACAGCAATTCATAGGCATGAAGAGTTGCCTGGGTCATTGAGAGCTCAAGTGACTTGTCCATGGTCAACAGCTAGTATGTCAGTGGCAGATCTGAGCCCATGTCTTCAGAACTCCAAGTCCAGCCCCCCAACCACTACACAAGGCTACCTCTCATGAAGAGAGTAGATGCTGAATAAACATGGACTAACATGAAGGCCCAGGTCAAGGGCTTGCATTAGTAGGGAGCCATTGAAGGTTTTTGGTCTGGAAGAGAAATAATGAAGGGTGTATTTCAGGCACATTAGACACATAGCACTTTGTTTATACTATTCTCATGGCATTTGTCAAATTCAGCTCCGTATTATTTGCATTATATTTATTTATTTACATGTCACTCACTATTAAAATGGAAGTTCTAACATCACTAATGTGAAAATATGTTTAATAGGAATGTATATGTATAGCCTATATCAAATTGCGTGCTGTCTTGGGGAGGGAAGTGGGGAGGGAGGGGAAGAAAAATTTTAAACTCAAAAGTTCATGGAAGTGATTATTGATAAATCATAATAAATTAATTAAAAAAAGGAAACAAAAAGAAAATGGAAGTTCTCTGAGGGAAGGGACCATGTCTTATGCTCCATTGTATCTCACATAGAACATTGCAAATAGTCATTTTATTGAATGAATGAATGAATGGATGGATGGATAGATGCTGCTAACATTACAGCCTTCTTCCTTTGTACCCCACCAGAGTAGTCTCCTGAAAACTGACCTACATCACCAATTACTTACCCGTAGCTGGGATGCTTCGGAATAGCTGCCCATGCCTCCCTGTGGGAGCTGTGCCACCAACAGAACTTCCTTGGTGTCGGATGAAAGTCCTAGGAACAAAGAAAGGATGAGACAAGATCTGAGGTCCTTCATTCCCAACCAAAGAAAAGGACTGCAGTATGTGTGGAGAGAGAAGATGGAAGATGGGGAATTGATAGTGCAGAGATAGAGAGAGAAAAGAAATTGGGAGGAAAAGAAATGCTGTAATGGGGAGAGGAGTTAAGGGGCTGAGAGAATAAGAACTAGAAGGATGGGATTTGAAGGGATAAGTGCTAAAATAACAAGAACTAGGGCAAAGAAAGACAAAGGCAGTGAGTTAGTCAAGTAAATAGAATTGGAGCCTGAAAGTAGGTGGGAGGGAGAGTCAAGGCATTGAGAGAAATGTGGGGATGACTTTTTCCTGAGAACTAACCTGAAGGGCAAATCAGAAGAGCGAGCTTCGAGGGGCTGACTCCAGTGGAGGAGGAATCTCCTTTGCTCTGCAAAGAGCAAAAGTAGAAAACAATATCACACTTTATTCTTACCCAAGCCATAGACAGCCCTCCAATCCTAATCCCATTCTACCCAACAACATCCCTTAATGGCCCAGAGAAATGGAAACTCAGACAGGAGATCCTAGGTCCTAGAATCACTCCCTTCTCCAGACTGTCCTCCATACCTCTGCCAAACTGATACTACTCAAGCACCCTAGTGGATGGATTCAGAGAAACCTGGAAAGACCTGTATGAACTGATGCAGAGAGAAGTGAGCAGAACAAGGAGAACAATTAACTATGACATTGTAAGCACAACTTTGAAAGGTTTGGAAACTCTGGTCAATGTAATGACCAGTCTTAATGCCAGAAGATAGGATAAAGCATGCTTCCCATCTTTTGGCAAATGAGTAATGACTAGAGGTACAAAAGGAAATACATATTTCAGATCCACCCATACAATGTAAATTTCTTTTTTTTTTCACTATTTTTATGTCAGGATTCCCATGCGAAGACCACTCCTCTCTTTTCACTCCTCTTTTTACTATTAGGAGACACCTTGTTTTCCAGAGCTAAGGCCCAGAAAGCAAGCTGTGCCCTGAGCTTGGCATAACAAAAATTCTTTGCACTCACCTTCCGGATGAACTTTGCAGCAGCTAAACCCCAAAATTGTTGCATACCAGCCCCAGGTAGCCCCCAAGCTTGGAAAAGCACTTGCTTGTCTCAACCACATTCCGGTCACAAAGCCCTGCTATGAATCAAACTTGCATCGTTGCTATTATTGTCTCTGCCACAGCTACAGCTCTATGCGTAGCCACTACTATATGTATCAAGGCTCAGTCTCACTGCAGTAGGTCTCCTTGGTATCAGAGCAGACCCCAGCACATCTATCTAGTTTCCCTCCTCCAATGGAATAAAGGATTTTTACCCATGATCTCTGTGGGCTCTTTGGTCATTTGTTTTCAGGGTTGACAGTTACGAGGGGGGGCTTTTATTGCAGGAAGGGGAGTGCTTTAGGGAAAGATGATGGTGATACAAAGAAAAAATGGAGGAAAAAACATTAAGGAAACCCATAAAAATACATGGAAGAAAGTTCAAAAGAGGACAATTAAGATGGGCAATGCTCATTCTACCATGTTACGGCTGATGTATAATATTTAAAAACCAAGCTATATGGGGCAACTAGGTGACACAGTAGATATAGTGGCACACCTGGAGTCAGAAGAACCTGAGTTCAAGTTCAGCCTCAGACACTTGCCTTGTGACCCTGGGCAAGTCCTTTAACCCCAATTACCTAAAAACAAACAAACAAAGCCATACATGGCAGATTCATGGCTGCATATGAAATCGTTTTTTTCCGTCCTTGCTTATAAATGGAAATGTTCATGTTTTTTGGTAACTATAAAGTTCAAAATAAGTGTGTTTAGGGGCAGCTAGGCAGCGCAGTGGATACAGCACCAGCCCTGGAGTCGGGAGGACCTGAATTCAAATGTGACCTCAGACACTTGACACTTCCTAGCTGTGTGACCCTGGGCAAGTCACTTAACCCCACTGCTTAGCAAAAAAAAAAAAAAAGAAAGAAAGAAAGAAAAAGAAAAGAAACGATAAAATAAAAACTCCTCCAGCTGGCCCTTTGTTATCTGGCTCCCACCTACCTTTTCAAGCTTATTACTCTTCTTTATTCATTCTGTGTTTTAACTAAACTGGACTCCTTGCTGTTCCATCTCCCACCTCTATGCCTTTGCCTAGGCTGCCCTCCCATGCCTGGAATACACTGTCTCTTCACTACAGTTTCATAAAATCTCTAGCTTTCTTCAATGCTCAGCTCAGATGCCACCTCCTATGAGAAGCCTATCAGGAATCCCCTAGCTACTAGTGCCTTCCCCCACCAAAATTACTTTGTATGTTGTTGTTCAGTTGTTTTTCAGTCATGTCTGACTTTGTGATCCCATTTGGGTTTTTCTTGGCAGAGATACTGGAGTGTTTGCCATTTCCTTCTCCAGCTCATCTTATAGGTGAGGAAACAGAGGTAAACAGGGTTAAGTGACTTGCCCAGGGTCACACAGCTAGTAAATAACCAAGGCTAGATTTGAATCAAGAAGATGAGTCTTCCTGACTCCAGGCCCAGCACTCTAACCACTGTACCACCTAGCTGCCCTTACTTTGTATGTACTTTACATTTATTTTGTATTTACTTATCTGTGCACCTATTGTTTCCCCAAAATAGAATGTCTTTGGGCACTGTTTCATCTTGGCCTTTGTATCTCCAGCTGCCTAGCCCAGTGACTCAAACATAAGAGCCTTGTTGAATTAAATGGTACCAAAGTTGAATGTCAGAATTGAAAGGGATTACTGAGATTATATAGTCCAACTTCCTTCCTTTATAGATGAGGAAAGTGAGGCCCAGAGAGATTAAACATTTTGTCCAAAATAATTCAACTTATCAGTGGCAGAGTCAAGACTAGCTGACCTTGAGATTCAGGCCTCTGGTCTTTTATTTTATTTTTTTTTGGGGGGGCAGCCTCCAGATCCTACAGAATGGATGGGACAAGCATGAAGATCTCCCAGACTGAAGAACAAAACCCCCAACTTTCTGCTCACCTGGTGGCCAAAACGGATCCCTCAAATTTCTGCCCCAAGAGGTCCAGGGCAAGTGACTTCGCCACTGCATGGTGAATGGCGGTTAGTCAGAGCCAGGGAGACTCAGCCCCACATTCCATCCTTCTCCAGCTCCCCAAACCTGTAAGGACAGCATCTCTGAGTGGTGGAGTCTCTCCAAACCCACTAACCTCTCTGTCCCAGTCACTAAGGGACCACCTCACCCATTGTCCTCTAGGGAGGACTTTACTCCTTTTGTCCTAAATCAGGGATCCTTCTCAGAGAGCTCTGAGCCCCAGGTGGACTAGAGGAGGCATCAGCCTGAGAATGCTGGGTAGGCGCTTGGAGTAGGAACCTTGAAGGACCCTGGAGTCCAAGAAAAATTATTCTAAGAATCACAAGACAGGCCAGAGGGTCAGTCACAGAAGCGACCCAGGATGAGGACCCCCATCCCGTTCCTGTTATACTTCTAAAAAGAGTGGGAAGGAATGAAGGCATGGGGTAAAATGCAAGGGTAGTGTCCCAGCAGCCAGTGTCACTGCACTCGGATCCTTCCTGTCATCCTGCTGGGGCCCCAAGTTGTCCTCCCAAGTGACTTCTCCAGCTTCTAAAAATAAAGAGCTTCCCACTATGCCCAGGCTTCAAACAGGCTCCAAAGGTCCCTGCCTCCCTTACACTGGAAAATGCCAACTTCACCCAGCCTCCTTCATGGCTTGTGACTGCCCCCAACCCCCAAGCCTGGCACTGCCTCCAAACTGTACCCCCACTTCCTGACTCCTCAGTGCAGGACCATGCGCCGGAGGGACAGAGGAGAGAGAAGGGAAAAGCACAGGGAATGGAGGGTTGGGGAAGGGGGAGATGAATAGAAAAAAGGCTTTACCAGCTGCTGCACGGCATCAGGGAGCAGCCCCTAGGTCGGGGACAACTAAGCCCCAGACCCGGTGCTGCCAGCTCCGGGGCTGAGAGCTCCCAGAGTCCCTTGCTCCTCAGAGCCGAGGGAAGACTTCCTGGCCATCTCCCTCCCCTCCCCGCCTCCACTACCAGGATAGGCAGTTGGGAGTCCAGCCCAGCCCAGCCCAGGCTAACCACGGTTCCCCCTCTGACAGTAGGTGGGAACGGGAGGAAAGCTCCACCCTCCCTAGCCCTTGCCCAATTAAGTAATGAGTTGATGGCCCCTTCAGGTGTAGATAAAAGAGATGAGAAGGGTGGATAGGGTTAGGGGCAGGGCACCTGCTGGCACTGGTGCTCATGCCAATGAGGTAATATCCCCCCCTCCCTGACTCTCCTCCCTGACATCTCACCCATCAATTTGAAACTGCCCCTACAGCTAAGGAGGGGAGAAGGGAGAGCTATCAAGGCTTCTAGCCTGCACATCACTGGGGCAGGATTGGGGGGGGGCATTATTTCCTTCTCTCTGAGAACCACGCTCTCCAGTCCCTCCTCCCCTTTGGTTCTAGTTCAACACCTTAACTTGCCTAGGGCTGGAATCCGGTTTTCTGGGACCCCCAGCAGCAATCCACTCCCTAGCTCTCCATACAAGAGTGCGATCAACAAGGAAGGACTAGGGCGATCTGCCATCTCTTTCTGACCTGCCTAGCCCTGTGCCAACATGCTTACAGACTCAACCATCCCAGGCCCCAGACCAGTGGACTTACCTGAGCTCCATGTGTGTCTGGCTCTCCAGGCCTGGCCATATGACCAGGCATAGGAGGAGGGGTAGGGGAGGCTGCTCCTACCCCCAAATCACTCCCCCAGCTGCTCTGGTCTGACCTTCCCCATCCAGCAGTGACTAAACGCAGCCCTCAGGGCTTCCTGCTCTTTGGTACCCCCCCAATAATGTGCCAGCATAAAGTTCGAGTGCTGACACATGTAAGTCGAAGAAGGGGAGCCACCCACCACCCACAGGTGGAACTCAATCTATACTTATACACTCACACTCACCACAGAGCTATGCAATACAAGAAGAGCTCGTAGAGAGAGCCAGTCCTGGATTGTGAAAGAGGCTGTTTGCTGTGGGCGTGCCATTTCTACCGCTTTCAGGGTCCTACTCCATCAGGAACCCATGGCCCAGCACGATAGTAGCCCTTCCCAATGTGAATTTGTTTAATGTGCTATCCCTCCCATTTTGCAGTAGAAAGCAGAAAGAGTTCTACAATCCCAGCTCTGATACTTCCTAATTGTTTCACTCTGGACAAACTACATAACTTTTTTCAATCTCAATTTCCTCAACTGTAAAAACAATATACTAATACTTGCATTACCCACCTTCAAGGTAATATGCTTTGGTTAAAAAAAATGCTTTGATAAACTTTAAAGCAATGTAGAAATGTGACCTATTTGCATTTTTAAGAAGATAGTAAGGCAAACACCCAAAAGAAAATAATTTCTAATAGTGGAATATCCTCAGCATCTAGTACAGTGTACATGACATTTAGCAGATTGGATTGAACTGAACTGAGTTAAAGTGGGGGGGAATTTTAAATAGTAAAAATTGTTAGTGCCCTTTAAAAGTCATTCCACTTGAGGGGGCAGTTAGGTGGCACAGTGGATATAGCACCAGCCCTGTATTCAGGAGGACCTGAGTTCAAATGCAGCCTCAGACACATAACACTTAGCTGTGTGACTTTGGGCAAGTCACTTAATCCCATTGCCTAGCCAAAAAAAAAAAAAGTCATTCCACTTGGGCAACCACCCCTTCCATTGAATAATAGGAAGTCGCTAAAGGTTTTCCAGCAAAGGAGGGAAGATTAGCCTGGAAGCAATGTGGAAAATGGGCTGGGTGAAGGTGAAGAAAGAGGAGTCAGGAAAAGCGGTTAGGAAGTTTTTGCAATAGTTCCAGAGGTTCCTAATCAGGACCTGTCCTAGGACCATGAGAGTAGAGAGGAGGGGACAGATAAGAGAGATTTTGTGTATCCAGAAATCTTAGGACTTGAAGGTTGGGGAGGAAGAGAAGAAAAACAGGTAATACCAGAGATTCAAAGACTATCAGGAGGACCTGAAAACACCAGAGATTAATCAAATGGTGACAGCAACACTGCCATTAGGAGCAGTCTTTGAGAGAAACACTGAAGGCTTGGGGTTTTTTAGCCCTGCTGAGTTTGCAGTGCCAATGGGAATGGGAAACCAAGATGGTTTGAGATTCAAATATGGAGCTTCAAAGAGAGGTCAGTGCCACAGAGAGATTCCAACCATCTCTGGAGGTGATCATTGAAATGGTGGGAATGGCTAAGATTGCCGAGGGAGCACGGGGACAGAATCAATGTTAAGCAATATCCGGCTCAAGAACCCTGTACGTATAACAAATAACAGTAACTGACATTGATATTTGGGGTTAAGGTTTGCAAAGTATTTTACATACATTAAATCATTTGATCCTAATAGAATACAATCCACCCTTTTGTGCAACACATAGTCCCCTAGCTGGTATTTCTGCAACCAGTCTCTCCTCTTTCAAAATCAGCCTTTACAAAGCTGCCAGAGTATTTTTTTTTCAGAATAATATTTCAGGGGCAGCTAGGTGGCGCAGTGGATAGAGCACAAGCCCTGGAGTCAGGAAGACCTGAGTTCAAATGGGGCCTCAGGCAAATAACACTTGACTAGCTGTGTGACTCTGGGCAAGTCACTTAACCCCAAAAGCCTCAAAAAGAAAAAAACAAAACAATAATATTTCTAATAATCTGATCTCATCTCTGGCATTTATTGGATGAGGAGATAAGTTATGGAGCAGCTACTGATAGGTTTTGATAGAGTGCAAAGCCTGTTTTTGTCTTTTGTATCCCCAGTGCTTAGCACAGTGCCTGACACTAGTAGGTTCTTAATAGTTGTTAAGGGGCAGCTAGGTGGTGCAGTGGATAGAGCATGGCCCTGGAGTCAGAAGGACCTGAGTTAAAATCTGGCCTCAGACACATACTAGCTGTGTGACCCTGGGCAAGTCTCTTAACCCTGATTGCTAATAAATGAATGAATAAATAAATAAATACTTGACTGATGCCAGCAAAATCATATGGTCAGCTCCCAAACAATCCTGTGTAGCCATAATATGGATGCTCAGCATGTACGCCTACACACAATAGACACCTGTGGTGTACACATACCATACATTCATACTCAGATGTTGCATACCTGCCAGACCCTCCCTTAACAAGTGTCCCAGAGATCACCTCACTGACTTTAGCAACCAGACACACCAGAAACACCCAATTGCATACCCATCCATATACTCAGTAACATGTCCAAAAGGCTTTACTTATGAAGTATCAAATTCCACAAATGCCCCTGGTGATTCCACAAGAGGAAAGAAAACTGGGCTGGTTAGGGACCAAGGCAGGGGGTCACACTGTGCAGGAAAGCCTGATCTGTGGACAAAAGCTCCCCCAAGAGCAGGAGAACTGAGACTCACCCCAAAGGAGGCTGTGCTCATTTTATCCCTTCTCTGAGCAGCAGGACCCAGCAGGAACTTAGCCGGCTGCTTGGGGAGGTGGTCCATGAAAGGCCTTGCTGCCTCAAGGCTGGGCTGTCACCTCATTCAGATGTGATCATTTGGAATGGGAGGCTGGACACCGAAGCTCTATGAGATCCAAGCACCCCACCCATCCAGTACTATCTCTGGTACTACTTCTGGAGGTACTGTAGAGTCAGGGGAGCTCCCAGGATCCCTTACATTGGAAAAGCAAGCTCCATACGGGCAGGAACTGTCATGTTTTTTTTCTAAGATCTCTGTAACCCCAGTAACCAAGATGGTGTTTTACATGAAGGTCTTCAATAAACGTTGAACTGAAATGAAAACATATGCTTATTTATACCAGTTGGCAGTACTATCTAGAAGAGGTGGCACCTTGAGAGCTGTTCTTTATGCCACAGCCTAGAGAACCAGGACTACACCCCCCACGCCCTGAACACACACACATACCATGTATATGAAGTCAATCCATTCTTTTAAGCAGGAGGATTCTCTCTCCCCACCCCCCACCTTGGCCTAGAAAATGACTTAAATCTAGGCTAGGTTTCTCATTTTTGTACCTGGCATACTCAGGGTACCTTGGATGGTTACCTACTCCTACACCTCTGCCAGGGTTCATGCCAGTCATACCTCCCAAGCTTCACAGAAACTTGCCAGGATGGAAAGGCTGGGGAAATAGACTGACCCTCAGCCCAGGATCTGAGGCGCCATTTAGGAACTATGTCTGTAGATGCATCATCTCAGTACTCCCAGACCTGATGGATTCACTAAATGTCCATGTACCTGGCTTTCTAAGCCTTGTCATTATGGTCAGGGGAAGGACTGTTTAGGGACTTAGGAGCATGGGGAAGCTGTTCATATTGCAATATGCTCTCCTACTACTGTGGTCTAAGCCTCCCCCTCCCAGCTTAGTGACTAGGCTCATTCCCAGGACTTCCTGTTCCTCAGGACCCACCCCCACCCCCACCCAGCCCCTCCATCCATACACTTGCACAAGGTTTAGAGAGAGCCACCACGAAGCCCACAGAATCCAAGAACCACTGAAGGCTAAGGCACGCCTCCACATCCAGAAAACAGGCAAAGAGCAGGCAATGGACATGAAACACACAAACCCATCACAGACACATCGCCTCCACCACTATGCTATGACATACACATTTACCCATAACCATGTGCAATATTTACTGGACTCTCAGGCACACAGGCAAACATAAACCTGACCGACATGCACCAGCTGCTTCAGAGACCCTCCAGCCGCAGCTGCCAGACACATGCACAGCCAATGTACTGTATAAATATAGGTTTTATTAATAATGAGTGAAATCCCCCAAATACACTGACATCTCCATATGATAGGAGACTGTGGGCCAGTGGGGGGGGGGGAGGAGAGGGTAGATAGGAGCCAGCCACAGCCCCCAGGCCAGGGAGCTCAGCAGCAAGGAGTCCAGGATCCCCACCGAGGAAACCAGAAATGCTCCGGATATGTCTGTCACTCTTGCCCTGCGAGGTGGCGTTCTTGTGCCTAGGG